CAGAAAAACAAGGCACGCAGAGCCACGCCATGCGTCGCATTGATAGACGAAGACGCGTCGCTGGGGGGAGTGGAGGGAGCATAAACACATAACAACCTGCAGTGAGCTCCTTGCCCTCCCGCGCGCGGTGTGGGTTGGGGGGGGGGGGGGGGGGGGGGGGGCGACAATAGAAAGCCCTTGAGAAACTGTTGGACCACCTCGCAAGTGCAGTTCGCTCGGTCATCCATTCTGCATGTTGACTAGATGTTTGGTCTCTCACGTGATTCTTTAAAAATCGACAGCCGCCTGGAAGAAGCAGTATGATTGTAAGGTGAGATTTTCAAGCTTACAGCCTGGAGATCGAGTCCTGTTGCGCATCTTATCGGAGCGAGGTGGGCCAGGAAAAATCAGGTCCTTTCGGGAGCAGAAGATACATGTTGTGATTGGGCAGAAAGGGAACCTTCCTGTATTCGAGGTCAGACCTGGAGGACGGACTGCTCAGTCTAGAGTGTTGTTCCTTACATTTTACGTTCTTCTTTTTCCAGGGCAAAAACATGATATAATTCAATAAACACCCCACGGCTACAATCCATGATTTTTGATCCACAATATCTTCGCCAACATCACCCACTGCTTCAAGTAAATAACAAATAAAGACGGATACATCGATCCTGTCTCTATTGTTGTGAGATCAGTGAGGTAAACTCCTCAGTATTGCACCACATTATTGAGAGTCACCAATTACACTGCGTGACTTAAAAACAATTTAATATACGGTAAGAACCACTCATAACAAGTCGAGCTTACATTACATCTGCGACAGACGCACGCTAGAATATTATGGTTTTAAATAGTTTAGGCCTCGCAGCAACAAGAGGAAATAAAAATTCCCAAAACTCTTTTGCTTTATTGATGTATTTGTTGACTACATCAGTCAATTTAAACCCTCTACCCTTGTGCATCTCTGTGATTATATATTGATGTAATGGTGTAGTAAGATAAGTCACGAATTTGAGTCCACTTGTATAATTCTGAAATGAAAGGCAAAGTGATAAATGTTTCCATTTCTGGCTCAGTTTTATAGCAAATTTTCAGTGAAAGCAACAAAATTCGATGTTGTTGTTGTAGTTGTTGTTTTCTTTTTGTCTGTGTTTTTAGTGTTTTTTTTTTTCTTTTGTGTTTGTTTTTCCATGCAGTCTTAATGGTAAAAGTACATGAAGAAGTGAATCAAACATGTGCAATATACGTTCGCCAAAATTGAAGCTCTAATAATGACCTGTACTTTAAATCAGGTCAACCCTGATGGACCTTTAATTGTTTGGCGTTCTATTGTTATGCATTACACAACGAACTTTTCCTGTCACAATTCACTCAAAATATTTCCCTGATAAAAATTGAACTCGATGTCTGCCATTTGCTCAGGGACCGCGGAGCAAGGTGAAAAGTGGCAGGGCTGACAATTGAAAATAATTTTTTCGTATTGAAAATCGAAAAAAGGAATAAAATCATAGTATTTGACTTTGCAAATAATAATAATAATAATTTATTACTTATTCGGCGCAAATATCTATATGAATATATTCAAATGCGCCTTACAAGTTACATTAAAATAATAATAAAATAATAAATCTAATATAGTAAAACTATCCAGTCCA